AAAAAATGCATTCATGATATTGTATGTATTTAGTAGACGGGTATTCTCTAATACAGTGGCAGCTATATATATATATATATAAATATATATATATATATATATATATATATGTGTGTGTGTGTGTGTGTGTGTGTGTGTGTGTGTGTGTGTGTGTGTGTGTGTGTGTGTGTGTGTGCATTCAAAAATATGCATTCATAAATATGTATATATGGTATTGTTTTACAATTTTAGCAAATAATTTTTTTTTCCTTCAAGGAGAGACTATTTTCTATTTTTTGTCCACCACAGGAAAATGGCTGAAAAATCACAAAAATGTTTCTGGTCAGATTTTCATTGTTTCACCAGACAGAAATTGATGAATACAAAACAGTTGGAATCCTGCACGACGTTTGATTATAGTTGCCTTTTTTTTTTGTACTATAACAATCCTTAGATTTAGTACAAGTTTTTTTAATACCAATCAAAAATAACAATTATAATATTTTTTTTATTAAACACGCTTTGTTCTAATTACAATATTAACTCTTCTTTGCATGATAATGTTAAAGTAATATTCCGGCTGGTTCATTCTCCGGCCTGGTCTGGTCTTTTTATTTTTGTGTGCCATGTCCATTCAGGACATAGGCGATAATGGCTCTCCACCTCTTCCTCTATCCCTTGCAGCCCTCAACAAGTTTCTTCCCTCTGTTACCTTCCCCAGACCACGTTCTGTCATCCACTTGCTTAAGCCCGCTAGGTATGTCATGCGTTGTTTTCCCTTTTCTAACTTTCCCTCTATTCGACCCGTGAGTATCAGATTCTCCAGGCCGTCCTTCCTTATTATGTGCCCCAATTTTATCCACTCGGGACATTCCTTCTTTTTATATGCCACGTCCTTTCAGGACATAGGTTGTCATGGCTGTCCACCTCTTCCTCTATCTCTTGCAGCCCTCAACAAATTCCTTCCTTCTTCTTCCTCCCCCAGATCACGTTCTCTCATTCACTTGCTTAAGTTCGCCTGGTATGTCACGCGTTTTTTTTTAACCTTGTCTCTCTTTCCCTCTATTCGACCCGTGATTATTAGATTTTCCAGACCCTCATTAGCTGCCTCTTTATGATGATAAGTATAAGCCTCCTCCTTGTTTGCATCCTCTCTAAGATCTCATCGTTGCTCACATGCTCGGTCCATGACACCCTTAGCATCCTTCTGTCGAACCACATCTCTGTCGCCTCGAATCTCTTCTCCATCTTTGAGGAAATCGTTCAAAATTCGCTGCCATAAAGAAGGACAGATGTCACGTAACAGTTCAGTACTCTTTTCTTTATTACCAAATAAATCCTTATGTCCCGCAGTACTCTGCCCAGCTTTTGAAATATCTCCTTGGCCATCACAGTACGCCTACGGATCTCATTGTCGCACTTACCGTATTGTCTTGTATCGTGACTATTCTTGATCCTTTAAAAATTTTGTATTGGGAAAATGTTAAAACTTGCTTTTATATATTTTCTTGATTATATATAATGTCTTATATGTACAAGCCATTTCTTGCCCTAGTTAACAACAGACAAGATGCCATTTTTGAGAATAGCTCTCAGTTTTATGTTGCTAGACCTATTGGACTTAATATTAAGGCAGGAGTAAATAATTATGGAATCAACATAAATACTTATTTTGCGAACTGATGACACCGAGAAAGTCGTTGATGAAAATAAGACAAACGAAGGTCCCTGGGGGATTCATGTGAAATTATTTAGAACCGCAGCCGTTTAACACGCCCTTCATTTGTAGATTTGCTTAGAAAGGTTCGATAAAGTATAGAATCCGGTCAAAGACGTCATAGCTGTTGAGCTTGTGAAGAAGGCTAGCATGCCCAATACTGTCAAACGCCTGCCGAGATATCTAAAGCCACAGTCCGAACCACACTGTTCTAATCTAACGCCTGATAAACAAATTCAGTTATAGCCGTTGACACAGCGGTGGTTGACGTTGAAAAAGCGAAAGCCATATTGTTTCCCAGAAAGAAGGCCTTGTGAAATGAAATGCTCCACGGATTTGGAGTGCATTAAAGCCTCTGTTACTTTGCCAAAAAAACAGGGTTAACATTAATAGAAGGATAATTCCAGGAATCATAATGTTGGCCAGATTTCTTAAAGACTAGAACTACAGAAGAGAATTCAACAAGCTAGAAAGCAGAAAGCAGCAAACATTTGTTTTAGAGTTTAGAGAGAAAGGGAGCCCGTTCAGGAGCTCGTTTTTTTAGGACAATTGCAGTTTTATATTCTTTAATAGTTGTAGTCATATTATAAACTTTAAGGTGGGAAATACGAAGAATAATAGTCATCACCGATCGTCTAAGGCAATACAAACCTGCGAAATATCGAAGAGTATATAGTGACTTTAGTATTACCCACCGGAAGTTCTTGCAGGATCACCTATTTACGAAGCGACATGGTGTTGCAGTTTTTTGTGTATATATATGTATATGTATATTTTTGTGTATATATATATGTACTAGTGAGTTAGCCCAAATGACTTGACTCACTTTATAGTCCACCAATTGAAGGTTAACCAATCAGAAGACGTAGAACATTCAATCCGTCGTGTATAAAGACGACCATTTTGTTTACTCTACCCGAATGTCCAGTCCAGCTTGTCAGGCGAAGAGAAACAGAAGGACGAACTATGCTCTGCTACTTTTTATCGAAATATCCACTGCTAACCTGAACAACGCTTTCCTCCTTTTTTTCGAAATATTCACTGCTAACCTCTGGATTCTATACTCGAAGACGACCGTCATCATGAACAACACATGGTACTCCAAGAACTCAGGTACAATGCGAATGTTGACCAGGGAAGTCTCTTTTTGGTAACACTTGTCTCTCTAAGCGCTACCAAATTGTTCGGGCTCCTTCTTATAAGTTGAGTTACAGCAATCAGAAAACTCCAGCCGGTCTGTTGTTCTCATGATACTTTATTATATATAGGATTTACAAGTAAAAGGTTCGGCATTGAGCTGAGTGAAGTTATCTTCAGAATCCCGACTCCAGAGTTTCATATACGGAACCTCCGTCTACTCGTCCTGTGGCTATCAGCAATTGCCTGATTATACTTCTCGATTTTTCTTTTATATATGCAATTTCCATTGATGCAAGTATTTTTCATACTGTATTTGTGTATGTGTGTGTGTGTGTGCGTGTGTGCGCGCGCGTGTCCTATATTCCTGTACGTGTAAAATGTCGGGTTTTTTTTGTATGAAAAATAGTTAAAAATGCAGCTGGAGTCATTAAGAATATTCTTTTCAAGTAACTTTACCGTATTCACAGTTCCATGATTTTCTAAAATTAAATTGAGAAGGAGAGACGTGTGTCTATGCCATGATATGTCTCACATCTAAAAATCATATGACTGAAACCGGTGAAGTTCCGCTAAATAAAAATACTTATGGGCTGCTGTTGTTTTTTTTTTTTTTTTTTTTTTTTCAATTTTTTTTCCTATATTTTACCTGTGCAGGATATATAAATAAACCTGTACTTTCATTCTCTCTCTCTCTCTCTCTCTCTCTCTCTCTCTCTCTCTCTCTCTCTTCATATATATATATATATATATATATATGTGTGTGTGTATATATAAAAGTGAACATAAAGTCAACACTTAGAGGCGACAGTCTGTTTCATGTTCTATGCCATCGTCAGACCACGTGGCCTGACGATTGCATAGAGCATGAAACAGAATGTCGCCTCTAGGTGTTGACTTTGCGTTCACTTTTATATTTACACACGCTCTTTCTCTGATATTGAGCACTTTATCACTAAATATAGCACACCTTATGACTATATTTCTTCATATATATATATATATATATATATATATATATATATATACATACATATTCCATTAAATAATATAGATAAGTGTTGTCTATTTATTTTGTAAATTCTTTTTTCATAACGTCTGATAAAGCTAATAACATTATCATTAAACGAAGAAAATGATAATGTTATTAAGCTTATCAGATGTTATGAAAAGAGTTTACAAAAATAAATAGACAACAACATATTATTTAATCAAACATGAAATAAAAAATACTGCCTAAATACACACAATATATATATATATATATATATATATATATATATATATATATATATATTGTTACGATTATAAGTGCATTTGAGAGTCGAATAAATTAAATTAATTTGGGTAAGTTTTATTGCTGCATATTATGGATAATTTTTGCCGTATGAATAAATTTGAGGTAGTTTCTTGGGTCATACCTAGCGTTATTGATCTTGACTTAAGCTCTAGATGTGTGGCCTTGTGCCATATATATGATCGGTTAATAAATAGCTATTGGAGAATGATACTATTTTGCGCAAGATAAAATAATCGATTTAAATAGATTTAAACAGGATCTTGTAAGGCTTACACCAGAATGTCACAGCTTCTTGAAATTTGAGGAGCAATGTTTATCTGTAAGGAAAGAATATCAAGCGATTTGATTATTTTTATCTTTACCAAAAACTCGAAGAATCCTTAAAATATTTCAGCGAACTGATTTGGCGCAAAGACCAATATCGCATCGTTCGTTGTTTGCATGCATTTTCCTACTTGCAATCTTTGCAGCTTCATGGAAACTTTGTTATTCTTGGTTTATTTAGTAAAAACAATCTATTTTTATTTTCTCCTTTAAGTTAACTGAACATCAGTTAATCACACTGCAGTTAATCTAATTATAAGATGTTTTGTTTATAAGAGAATTTTGATGACCGAAATGTTTCCGAATAAGCAATTAAGAAACTATATACTTACAATGGAATAAAAATTTAAAAATCACTCAAATTTTTCTTCTCCCAGATTCTGCATAAAATGGGGCTGTCAGCAATTGTCTAATTATACTTCTCGACCAATAACTAAGACGCATTTTATGAACACCTCCATATTCTGATAATTTTCTGTTTTTGATAATCATTTTCTCCAAGGTGCAAAGAGATGGGTAGTGTAAAAGGAACAGCAGAAGGACTGCAGATAACGGAACAGCCAGAACGACTCCCTCCTGCAGAAGGAATGTAGATAATGGAACGGACACAATGACTACCTCCCACAGAAAGACTGCAGATAAAGGAACGGCCACAATCGCAGAAGGGCTGCAGATAACGGAACAGCCACAACAACTCCCTCCCGCAGAAGGAGTGCAGATAATGGAACGGACACAATGATTCCCTCCCAGAGAAAGGTTGTAGAAAAAGGAACGGCCGCAATGACTCCCTAACTCAAAGGGATTGCAGATAACGGAACAGCCACAACGACTCCCTCCCGCAGAAGGAGCTCAGATTATAGAATAGACACAACGATTCTCTCCCAGAAAAAAATCTGCAGATAACGGAATAGCCACAACGACTCCCAACCGCAGAAAAACTGCAGAAAAAGGAACAGCCACAATGACGCACTATCACAGAAGGACTGCAGATAACGGAACATACACAAAGACGTTCTCCCGTAGAAGGACTACGGAGCAGTCACAGCGACCCCCAGAACCCGCAGAACGAAGGCACATAAACGGAAGAGATAAAATGGCACAAGCAGATGAAGTGAATATAGCGGAACCGCAAAAAAGATTCCAGAGCGCAAAAGAACTGCATATAACAGAAGTAAAACAACGGCTTACTCCCGGAGAAGGCCTGAAAATGAAGAAAGAGCAACAAACATTCCCGCCGCAGAACGACTGCAGATAACAAGGAAGACAACGAGTCCTTCCTTCCGCAAAAGGACTAGAAATAAAGGAACAGCCACAAAGTCTCCCTCCCGCAGAAGGACTGCAGATAACGGAAGAGACGCAATGACACCCTCCCAAAGTAGGACCACAAATATATGGCGTAGACACAAAGGCTCCATCCGGCCGAAGGGCTGCAGATCGCGAAACAGCCTCAATGACACACTCTCGCAGATGACTGCAGTTACGATACAGTCACAACGACTCTCTCCCGCAGAACGAGTGGAAATAATGGAAGAGACGCAACGACACCCTCCCAAAGGATGACCACAAATAAATCGCGCAGACACAAAGACTCCATCCGGCCGAAGGACTGCAGATGAACTGTAAATAACAGAAAGGCTAAAACGACTCTCCCGCAGGAGGACTGCAGATATCGGCCGAGACACAACTCCCTCCCGCAAAGATGGCCTGCAACTAACGGATCAGCCACAAAGATTCCCTCCCGCTGGACTTCAGATAACAGAACAGACACAACTTTCTCCTGCAGAATGGCTGCAGTTAAAGGAACAGCCATAAAGACACCCTCCCGCCGAAAATTGCAGATAATGAAACAGACACATAGATTCCCTCTCGCCGAAGGATTGTAAATAATTGTACAGCTTTCAATGACTCTCTCTCAACGAAGGGTTGAAGATTATGGAACAGCCACAAAGTCTCTCTCCAGCTGAAAGTTTCCAGAATTTTTTTTTATGTAAAGAGAACAATAAATGAACAGAAAATAAAAAAAGAAGACAACCATTTATATGCCTTTTAAGTTTTTGATGCTCTAAGTTGAATAGAAATCAAAAAGCCAGAAGCGTTTTCCACAGCTGAGAAGTGCGAGAGTAGAAACTATTAGCATAGAATATACGCTTGCATCTAGCCATTTTAACTGTGAAATAATGAGATTTGCTCACCAATTTATTACTGCGATTAAATTCATAATGTATATGTACCAAAAAGCAAGGCCCATCAGAACAATTACCATAAAAATATTCATAGAATATTTGTAGCATGTTATTTCGTAAAGTTTTAAACCTGTGGATATTGTCCGCTATCATCGAGTGCTTGCCTGACAGTAGCGTTTTCAAGATGTTAATTCTGAAAATGAAATTCTTAAGAGAAAATTCTTAGAAGAAAATTCTTGCAACAAAACGTCTTTTTGGTGAAGAAAGTGTAAATATACAGTAGAAATCAATTTAAAAATATTCTGCACACACACACATATATATATATATATATGTGTGTGTGTGTGTGTGTGTGTGTGTGTGTGTGTGTAAGCAAATATATGGATATAGGTCCAACGGTATGAAGAAAAATATACGGAAAAAACAAACAAAAATCCTAATATGCAATTATGCTGTTTTAATGTTTAATGTCAACGTCGGACGTTTCGGTCTAATAGACCATCTTCAGGACATATTCATAAAACATAATTAACATTAGACATGTTGAATTGAATATAGTCTAATGTTAATTATGTTCTATGAATATGTCCTGAAGATGGTCTGACCGAAACGTCCGACGTTGACATTATATTAACATTAAAACAGCATAATTGCATATTAGGATTTTTTTTGTTTTTTCCGTATATTTTCTTCATATATATATATATATATATATATATATATATATATATATATATATATATAGAGAGAGAGAGAGAGAGAGAGAGAAAGAGATAGTTTGTGAGAGTTGATGCCTGTGTTATTTTAAAAAGTGAAATTAATGTCAAACTCCTTAGCAACACAGAGTTCCCCACTAAAATATAACTTTTGTAATAATAGGTAATAATTGAAATGCCCATTCTTTTAAAACCATTAAAAAGTTTCTAATTCTAAATTTTGCCTCAGTCTATTAAAATATTTAGAGAAATTTAGGTGGAAATATGTTGTTCACATCTGTTCGGTGTTGAAATTAGCATTTGAAATCTCAGTTTATAACTCATTTCCGTTGTTATTATAATAATATTTCGGTTGTTGTACCCATCGGCCTTCTTCAGGTGTTTATTTTCTGGGTAACCTACAAGAAATTCTGAAATGAGCCCTGTATTTATTCTACAGGGATAGATTGTTCTCGTCCCCTAGACATTGGCTGTGCATCGAGAACAGTCTACCCCTGTATATTAAACAACTTGTTTAGTTCGGTATTTCAGTAAAAATTTCCATTAAGTTAATAAATATTAACAAAAAAATACATAATATCCCACGACGACATTTAAATTTACACTTAAAATTGAAAAAAGAAAATTATTACTGCTAATCTTTTTATCATTTTTATAACTATTTTAAGCAAAAAACAGAGTTAGCGTCTTGATTTTCAAACGTATATTTAGCAACAGTTTCCGTAAACGTCATTTTTAAATGAACATTAGAATTTCTAATTTTTATTTTCAATTTTAAGTGTAAATTTAAATTCAAAATTAGATTATAGTTCAATTAAATATTTAACAACAGAAATAATTCCTCTAAACAACACCACGAACTCGTGAGACCCCAAAATATTAAGCAAACTGTAAACAGCGACCAATACTTGAAGATTTCATTAGGCATGAAACTTCAAGTCGTACTATTAGTATGGGATATTATATATTTCTATTAATATATACTTAATAGCTTTGTTACTTAGCTATGAGCACTGTTTTTCTTTCACCAAAGGATATATGTATATTTGTATGTGAACACTTACACGTTCATTTATTTATATTTATGCATTCGATTATATATATATATATATATATATATATATATATATATATATATATATAGGTAACAACACTAGTTTCGGAAAACCTTCGGTTTCTCGATTTGCTGATGGTCAAATCAATTTCGAAGGAAAAAAAGTTTTTAAACAAAAGAAAGAGCTATGAACATGAACGTCTGTCGAAAATAATCGTAAAGCATACAGGTCCAAAGCCCAAAGAAAAAAAACCCGATATGAGTAATCAACTAACTAAAAAAAGTGCTCAATACAAAAGTAGAACATACCTACTTTCCAGGCCAGGCCAGCTTTCCCTGTCTGGCTCTCTAGGTATATATATATATATATATATATATATATATATATATATATATATATATATATATATATATATATATAAAAGAATAAAAGACAGACCACGTTATGATTCCATTGTTAAGATTATACATTGAGCTCTCTGGATATCATCCTCCTCAGCTCTACCCATACGGATTACTTAAGTTTGCATAAACTATATATATATATATATATATATATATATATATATATATATATATATATATACGTTTTTTTTTTTTACCCAAAATCACCTTTCCTAATAGAATCACCACACCCTCAAGCCAAGATACACAACAAATATATCAAGAAATCAAAAGAAAACGGTTGAATCCGTCAACGCAACAATACAATCAATATTTCTACATGCGAAAACACTCTCTTCAAACATAATGTAATTGAGGAAAATTGACCATATGAATATACAATAGCGTTTCTAAATTCTTCTAGTTGCTAACGGCATTTTGTTTGTTGTTTATAGATACTTTTTCAATAAATTTATATCATTTTTTGCCTTGAAAAAGTCCACATTGAACGAAATGCGTCGACTAAATCTAGTTTTCCTATTGTCTTTTTTCCTTTATACATATTGTCGTATTCTACAGTTCTGAGACATTTTTGCATATATATATATATATATATATATATATATATATATATATATATATATATTATTGTTGAGGCAGCAAATTCTCTTTTAGAGATGTCTGATTGAATAAATATCTGACATTGTCTGCTAATTTTTAATAATATCCGTTCATACTCACAAATAACCTTTCGTGTATTGATGTTAAAGAATGAGAGAAATATATAGTTATTCGTAAGTATGAATAGATTTTTTAAAATTAGCAGACATAATGTCTGTAATTTATTCAATCAGACATACATACATATATATATATATATATATATATATATATATATATATATATATATATATATATATATGAGGTCGAAACGCTGTGGTAAGAACAATACAGATGAGGAGAAAAGTTTGAATATATATTGTGTAAATAAAATGAATTAAATTTAAAAATTAATGTGATTTAAATTAAAAATAAAGATCTGTTGTTATTCTGAATTAACTAGAAGTGACTGAAACAATGCGTTGACGTCATATCACCAATAATCTTTGAATGTATTTGGGAAATAGCTTGAAACATAGTTTTCAGCTTATTGATGCTACGTACCCTAAGGAATATGGTAAAACTGTCTATCATTTTCTGCTCGAAGTAACTTCTGTCAGCTTAATAATTCTCCTTGTCCTTCTTCTGTCATCCATTAACACAAACTCGGTTATTCAATTGCAAAATTGTTTTGGTGATGATTGGTCTTTTTCGTTTCTATATTTCAGTATTATATTCTTTACTTAATTCTCAGTCGTTAATTGGATTCTTATCATATCGTTATCAGTGCGTATCACGAAGCAAAAACAACGCTTCATAAAGTACCGAATACTGAACTGAAAAAACACTCACTTCATGCAACGAATTTTAGCTTCTCTTCATGCAAACCCGGAGTGAAGAATCACAAGTCAGCCATTTAGTCTGATGAATGGTTTTTAATTTAAAATGTCCATAGTTTTTTGTTTTTTTTATTTTCTCTTGCTCCAAAGCTTTCTCTTTTAATTTTAATTATTTTAATTTAATTTTTTTAAGTGACACTCACACAATTTTTACAATGATTTTGTCTTAGTGTCCCTTGCTTATGATTAAAGAATCGTACAACTTTATCAGCTTATGAAAGGATCTTAATTTTATTAAATCTATCCTCTCGGACGTATTCACCTACTGTTTCGCGATTAATCATTGCATTTTACGTATCCACAATCATATCTTGAGTTTCTTGATAAAATCCAAAGAGGAATCTGCAAAGACATCCTCAAAGACTTCGCATGTCAACTTCGGTCACTTTCCCAACGCCGTAATATAAATTCCTTGGACCATGGTAATTGTTCTGATAGGGTGCCGATCATAATCCCGAATCTTAAAATACCGAATGTCAAAATCGTAAAATTTAAAATCCTGAAATATGAAATCCTGAATTTATACGATCAAAATCCCGTAATTTAAAATCCTGAAAGATCTGAATCTGAAAAAAATAATCTTTGGCAGAAATTGAAAAAATAATTTGGAAATACTTTTATTTCTGAATATATGCAAAATAGTGTTTAAATATTGTTTATACATTGGAAACTTTGAAAATATATGAAAAAATATAAAATTAGAATATGGTATAAACGATGGGAAAATTTAGTAAGTTATGCTTATGTTGTTGCTTATAGGATTATTGAAGAGTTTCAAAAAGAACAGCAGCGTTTAGATAACGAATGTGAACGCATTCTCCGATGACAGTCTTGTCCAAAAAGAAAAAAAAAACTGTGTGTTTTATCGTGATGAAAGACTTAAAATATAGTTAACGGTAGTGAAAACCAGCCAGATCTTACGGACTCTTACCCATAATCTTTCATTATAAATTATTCATATATTTATTTTATAT